AAATTTCTGTAAACCTCATTATGAAATATAAGTTGTTAATTTTTTCATAAGAATTTCTAAGATTCATTTATTTTCTATTTTAATAAATTAATTTTGTAAATTGAGAAATTTAACTGAAATAAGCATTTCAAAACACACATGTCTGAAGTACTAATTTTTAATATGTTTATTTTAATTCAAAATAAATGTAATACTAGTATTTGAAAACTTGAATTTATTTTTAAATTTATTTATTTTAGTTTTTAAATCACAAATTTAATAAAATTTTATTTAATTTGAAAAATCCATTTAGCTAAAATTAAGTAATTATTTCAAGAATATAGATTTAATTAAAACTTTTTATTTATGCAATTAGTTTTTATCTAAGATCTTTTTTTATTTAATTATATAAAATAGCATTCTAAATTCAGTTTACTGTTAACATTTGGCATATTTCCAAAATAGTAGTACATCAAAAATTATTCATAATATGCTATATTCAGAAACAAACAAGTAAATGTGTGAATAGTTTTCTATTCAGGTTAACATTTTTCTAATAAGTTTTTTTGGATAAAGATATATTATGAACATTATTTGAATAATTTATCAAAATTATGAGAACAATTTTAAAAAATTAAGTATACAAAAATTATTAAATACTGATATAAATTTTAGTAAATTTATTCACTAATATCGAAATCAGTGTTTCTCAACCTCTAACGAATCGTCGCCCCCTTCAATAAAATCGTTACCTATTATTGCCCCCTTCACTTCAAAATTCTGATGCCGAGGACCAAGACTAACGCCAAATTTGTACTGCACTGAATAGACTAGTGACTAGTATAATGTTATTTGTTTAACTATTGTACAATATAATGATAAAAATATCTAATTATTCTTAATATAATGTTTTACTGTATCGCCCAGAAAATTGTTTTTCGCCTCCCAAAATATAAATTGTTACTAATCGCCCCCTCAACATGGAAAAATGCCCACATGGGAGCGATATCACCCCCATTGAGAAACACTAACCTAAATAATCCATTAGTATCTGTTTTTGATTAACTTTTTTTTAATATAAATTCTGTTCTCTTAACTTTAGTACATGTAAATGCCATTTAAATTTTACCTTTACCCAAATAAAAACAAGCTATTTGTAAAGAATTTGCTAAAATTTATTGATTTGTTTTCTAATACAGCAGAGTCCCAAAAACTCAGCCTAATGTGGACTGAAGGGTGGCTGAGTTTGTGAAAATGCCAGGTTATCAAGAATGGGGTTAAAAAAGAATAAGTACAAGTGTTTTCTCAGAAAATACTGTACTGTATTTGTATATATTGTTTGCTTGAGAATACAACAGAATAAACCGCCCAAATACACTTAAACAAAGGAAAAGTACATACTTTATGAAGACATAGAGCCTTTACTACATGAAAATGAAAATTAATGAATACAGTGTACAGTAATTTACCTGATAAGACAGACCTCAGAAAAATGCTTTATGAGGCATAAAGCTGTCTATAATGAAAATTGACTAGCCAACTTTTGAAAAACTGGCTACTTTTTTTTAAAGAAATGAGTAATGTCCTGTTGTCTCCGCAATGCACTCTGTGTTTTGCTGCTTCATCACAAAGAAAACGAAGGAACAGTAAGTCCATTACCGATGCACCTTGTTGTTCAAAATACTGAAGAGCGGTTTCGACAGCCTTTAGTCCCTCACTATGATATTTTAGGAACTTGTACGGTGGAATCCTCAACGTCAATGTCTTCATCATATTCTGGTATTTTTTCATTAACAGTGACAGCAGCAATAATTTCTGCATCAGACATAATGTCTTGCTCAGTATCATTCTGGAACCACTGTTTGACGATTTTCGACTGTTTGACCACTGTCATTTTCATCGGCTTCTGCACATCCAGGAACTCTTTTCAAGAGATCGAGTAAGTTTACATTTTCTGCATCATCATGTTCAACAAACTCATTTCCCTCGTGATCAAGGAGTTTTCACAAGGAATGAACTAGTGTTAATGACTAACTCGTTCCAGGCATCCACCACCCAGCCAACAACATCCAATAGGTTAATTTTCTTTAAGTTCTGGATAAGACCTTGACCATCATCATTTGCAGAAAGAAGGGAGGATAACAGCTTGCGCCAAGTTATCTGGACTGCCGGGTTATCGAGTTCCGAGTTTTCGGGACTCTACTGTACAACATTTAATATTAATTATTATTCATATTTTTTGTTCAATCTCAGCATATACAACTTTAAATAATGCTGACATTCAATTGAAGAGTATCCAAATTGAAATTTTGATTGTATCATCAGAAAAGTCTTCAATTTGCTATTTTGTATGGCAAAGCATTCCAGACAAAATATCTTCCTAAATAACATTATCAAATCCATTAAAAGAAAGAAAACCATAGTGTTGTATAAAAAGAAAATTTAATCAATTATATGAGAAATATAGAAGTAAAATAAAACTGAATTTAGAGATTACTGTATTTTCATGTTTTTGACTCACAATGGCATATATCAGTGCTTTCCAAAATGGATGTCAAAACACCATGAGGTGTTACCTAAAGCAGCACCCACTCAAACATTTATGTTGCCCTGGACAAAAAGACAAATTGCTGCTCCTTAAATTTATTTAGAGAGAAACATGTAATATAAAATTAACAATCAAGTAGTACGAAACAGTAAAAATTAAAATATACCTGTACCTAGTTACAAATTGTTAACTAGATGCATTTTTAATGATATTACAAAAATGTATTATTGTACAATCAAACAAAAAACTTATATCCTACAAAAACTAAACAAAAGTACATCAACTATAATAAAATCAAAATAAACTTTTTTTTCACTTTTAGTTCTGCAAACTTTTTTTATTAACTCTCTTAAGTTTACTTGATCAGCAGGTTTCATGCACAATTGCCAAAATAGCCAAACTATTAAGATGATTTTGCATGGTAGTGGAACGTAAAAAATTTTTAATTTTTATTTAGAGAAACTCCTTTCCCCCACTAGCTACAGTTATTGGTATGTTCAGCAGTATTCTTAAGGTAACACTAAGGTTTGGGACAAAATTTAACATTCTTACTTATGCTTTCCTTTTTGCCAAAAGCCCTCTTTTATGGTTGTTTTCTTCAGAATTAAGGAATGCATATATTTTCTTAGCTTTTAGGCAAAAATAAAAAACATGAAATGTAAATTGCAAGGTAATTGTAGCCACAGAAAAAAATCGACAAATATACAATTTTAATTAATTAAGTATTTAACTTATAAATATTTTGCCACATTCATAACCAAAATGCCGCCCTTTAGATTTGCCACCCCTAGAGTGGGCCCTGCCTAAAGATATACTGTACAGGAGTATTGAAATACTCTAAAATTAAATAATAATATATAACAAATTTGTAAGACTTTCCATATGAGCCACTAAAACTAAGAATGAAAATATACAGTAGAATATTGTTTTAATGGATTGATCAGGCCACTGATCAATCCATTAAATCATTTGTTGTTCCAAGAATTCATCATATCGCAAACAATGGATTTCCCAAACATCCAGTAAAATTCCCATTATGCAAAAAAATTTCTGCTTTTTTAACTCCCTACATATAATATATACCTGTACTTGAAATTATTCAGTCTCTTGAGATCTCTATTCTTTATTCTATAGAGACATCTAAATAAAAATATGCAATTACCATTAAACCAGCAATTAATTGTCATGTAAACAAATGTTTTCTTCAATTTTAAACAACCATCATCAGGTTTCGATGTAAATGGAATGTTTGTAAAAGAACATTCCATTTATGTCAAAACCTGACAATGACCATCTCTAATTAATAATTAGAAACTAGTAAATTACTTAGTTTTAAATTATTAATTATGGCATAATATTAGCCTGATTAATTACAGTGATAGTTTAGCTTAGTAATTTCTTTTTAATAGCAAAAAACACCATTATTCCAACATTACCAACTTCAACACCACATCATGAGCAGTAACAGAACATCAGACTGTGTAAAAACAAAAATTGACAATATACAATAGAAATAAATCCATATTAATTATTTATTACTGGCTAAAGACTGACTTCAATATCACCCCATGAATGGCAAGAGCTTCAGAATCTGTGCAAAATTTAAATTTTAGACATACAGTCAAATTGTTTACAAGTACAGGAGCTCCCATATCTATATAACACTGTTTCAGATAACTTTAATACTATGACTTGTGACAATAATTGTCACCCTAACAAGTTATAAGACTCCTGCTTTCTTTATTATTTTAACTTTATTTCTGTCTCCTCAACTGTCCTGACAAAAACTATATATTGACTGAGAAAAAGGAATTCAACAGGGTAAAAGGTTAAAAAACTCCACATAACTATCACATTAGACAGGAGATGTGAAGCATTCCTTCTAACAAGATAGAGGATAAATTTCCAGTAATTATCCCCTAAAGGTGTTTGATGTCAAAGGTATGAATCGAATACAGAAAATGAATAAAAAAGAACTATAGGCAAGATGCATGTTCTTTAACAGTTTTGAGAAAAATTATGGATACATGAATATATCTACAATGCATTAAAGAATTTTCACATTTTCTAAAGAATTTTTAATGACTTTAGACAAAAATGAAAAAACAATTTTCTATATAACCAATATGGGATAATAATGACTAATAAGGGATTCATTAAAACATTTTTATCAACGTTTTAGATATCAGCGATATTACATATAAAAACAGTTGTCAACATTTTCCAACATTGACACTAAGTATTTTCTTTTTAATATAAAGTAATGAGTTTGATTTTATTGAATTCATTATATTGTTACATTTATTATTAAATTCACATTATTATACTGTTTTTAAAAAATATTTCTAGTATAAAATCATAGCTATAATTCAAAAAAATTTTATCCTAAGTTATAAATTTTTACTAATTTACAACTTAGGATAAAATTTTATATTTAAATTANCCTAAAAATTTACTTTAAAAATTTAATTACCTTCTGCAGCAGAACGATAAGTTGTATCATCCTTTGGAACATAAACTAATTGCAATATTAATGGACGTCTTGTAACTATTCCAAGTCCCCTGGGCAGAAAATCACGACCAACTAAACTTTCTAGAACTGAACTCTTTCCTGAACTCTATAAAATAAAGATTTGTTTGAAATGTCATAGATTTTTCTTCTTGTTAGTATTAAATTAAAAATCTAAATTTAACACCTAAGTTTTAGTAATTCATCTTAAATTCTATAAAGCAAAATTTATTTAATTATGCTATTTTTTAATAGTAGTACATTTTAATAAATTTTTACTATGTATATTTAATACTTATACATAGTTACTTATACATAGTAAAAATTTACTATGTATAAGTTGAAATAACTATTTCATCAAAATACTATAGATAACATCAGCCTTATGGAATGTATGCAGAATGGAACCTTAATGTAATATAGGATATAGCAAAGATAGGCATCTTCGGGACTTCCTATGGTGTATCCAGCATCCAATAATTTTGCAAAAATTACAATATGTTAGATATAAGGTCCCATCATCAAACAATATGCTAGTATATTAAACTGATGTTATGTTATAGAGATGATTTGGTAAAAAGTTGTTTTTAAATTTATAGAAGACATTAATACAGGACACTCACTGCCAGGAAAAATTGTTTAGCAATTTGACTAATTAGTTGTGAAAAATGTTAGTCCAATTCAGAAAAACTATAGTGTAGCCCTACATTCTTAAAATATTCTGAATACAAAAAGAATTTCAATATTTTATTGTGATATAAAGTTCCATTAAACTGCACTGCTATGGGAAACAACAAAACTACAAAATTTAATTTTTCAATTATAATGTGTAATAATAAAAATTTACTATAAATTACATACATATTTTTGCTGTTTCTTATAATTATAAAATTCTTGAAAGTGTCATTTGTTTTGTTTTGAGTTGACATTCTTACTGATAAAATATTAATTTATTATATTTCAAATTACATTAGGATATTTTAAATTTAGTACATTAGGTTGGGCCTAATTTTGTAATAAATTTATTAATTTAAATATTCATGAGATGGAGTGATGCCATTAAAGAAAATAACAGATGTACAGTACAGTGACACTGTACACACATTCTATAGCCATACTGCACAATTTCCATGAAATATCAAACATTTTCTTTAATATTTAGTTTTACAAAGTTAATATATATTTCTACTTCAAAAGATGTATCTGTTACAATACAATTTCAAAAATATAGAAAATCTTTAGTTATTGTTATTTTTTCCAATAATAAACTATTTACAGATGTATATAATTCATTAAAACTTTTATAAATAATACAGTGATCAAAATTAATGTTGTAATAGAAAATTTAAAAAATAATAATTAATTGAAATAACTTGTTTTTGCAGTTTAAGTGATAAAAGGCTGATCTCAAACTTAAAGAGGTGGAGAATAATTGAGGAAGGTCAGAAATAGTCTTTTTAGAAACAATGAATTCAAATGTTTGTTTTCATATCACAAAATTGAAATTTAACAAATAATTCTCTTTTGTAGATTAATTTGACTAAATTTTGATAATGTTCAAATAGGTAAAAGTTTAATTACTTGGTATACCAATTACTTTTTGAAGTTATAATTATAAAGGGAAACATTTCAAATTTTTTTTTAAGTGGGAAATATTAAGATAAAAAATTGTGTGTTACACTAACTGCACTTTATTTATAATTTAGGTCTACTCAGATGTATTAAGCCTGATTTAAGTTCTTCCATACAGAATCTAGTGTTCATTAAGTATAGCAGAATGACATCATTTTATCACATTCTCATACTTTATAGGGGTGTTGCATCATCTCTGCTTTGTGAACATGGAAGTTTCTAATAAACTAATATTTAATTGTTAATATCATAATTTAAAAAATTTTTAATCTTTGACTTAAATTAATTTTCTTATAAAATGTGGAAAATCGTGTTTAAGAATCAGAAATCATAATGAGATTTTCTCAATTCTGATTAATTGTCCCATCAGTACCAGATATATACTCCAATATTGCCTTTATGGTGAAATTATTCAAAGACAGACTATTATATAGGCTCTTCATTCAGATCTGTCAATAAGAGAATAAATGAGCATTTCTCAGTTTTTACTAATTGCATAAAGATTTAAACCTTAATCATTAATTTAATGGGCTTCAGACAGAAGAAAGTAGGGGACAAGTCTATTTTGAAAAATAAATCTAATCTTCCACTCAGGTTCCTAGAACAATTATATATTCACAGCTGTGGACAAACTCAGTAATAAATAAACTTGATGCATATATGTTAACCTAGAAATGCACATAGTTTTCTGTAATGCAATTGTTTAATTGCAAAAATGAAACAGTTTTTAATATGAATTCATACAATTTATGCCAAATAATTGTGATTAAAAATATACAACCAGACCTACTTTTACATTGCAATTGTTACAAATTGAACTGAGTGATATGGAAAGGCATGAATGTGCACACACTGTCAACTTTTCAGTATAGTATAGTAGTATTTCATTTGTAATAATAAAGTTACTACAAACATAGTTTCTATGAAATCCGAGTCATTAACTTGTCAAAATTTTGATAAATATATCACAGTGTACACCTATTGTTATTTTTCCATGATTATAGTTTTTCATTTGTTACAACAGAAAATCACATATGCATTTCTAGGTTTAGGCAGAACATGGGTTTGGTTAGCATCTAAGTGTGATATCCTCTATATCATCAATCTTAAAAAAAAAAAAGCTAAATTTGGTCAATTTTAAGTTATTTCCTAATGTTTAAGATCAATTACTGTAGTACAGTTATATTTTCTTCTTTGCTCCTTTCTATTTTAAAGACATTTGAAATTTCTTTATTTTGGTTTTTACTTTATGTACTTTTATTTAAATTTGAATATTTATATAAACAAAATTTTTTTGCATATTATTATTTATATGCCTATAAATTCCCACTGTCATCCATCTGTCCTTCCTTAATTTCAAGAATGGAGTTAGATAGGTGAAAGCAGAGACCAGGAAACCATAGGGGCAGGAGGCCCCTATTAACTATATACGAACTTCTGATACAAAAGTCACATTATTTCAATTTTAAAAATTTTCCCTAACAGGAATTAGAGAGATGATCATCATGACTCTGCTGCTAATAGGAAAAGTATGATGTACAGTACAGTGGCTTGCTAACAGGGAAAGTATTACATAAAGGACAAGACAGTATTAATTTGGGGTGAAGAGTATATATTTTAAATTAAATAAATAAAAAAATTATTATTAAAAGTTGCAACCTGGCATTGTGACAACGTCACAATAAATAATTTTTCCCCCTTCCAATACCTCACAGATCAATACTTTTGTGAAATTAAATAAAAATAATTATAAAACAGTGTTTAAATATTTTTTATTTTATTTTTCAAATTTAAATTTGTAATTTTTAAATTTAAAAAATTCTATTCCATTTGCTCTGACAGCTAAGAATGAACTAAGTGAAGGTCAAAAACATTTGATTAAATATTTTTTGGTAGCCAGAACTTCAATAGTATTGTTTTATTATTAGTATCATAATAGTGCCAAGTTTCATAGACTTTCACTAGTTTTTTCTTTTTCTTTTTTTTGTTATAAGAGTCTGAAGAGGCCAAATAGTAAACCTGAAATGCACATCCCTAATTAATCAAGTATCTACTGATTGAGTGTGGCTTCCCAAAGGAAAGAACTGACAAATAGATTCAATAAAATAGAAAAGATATGAGCTTGAAAGAACTATTGAAAACCTTACCTTGTACAGTAATAAGATATTGTTCTACATGCTGGAGAGAGTGGCTAATCAAGCAGTTATAATAATTTAATACTACAAATTTAATTCACAAAAATATCACAAAAATGTATTAATTCATCCTGGCATTTTTAATTAATTTTTTAAATTAATGTTTTTTAATTTAATACTACTTAACTGTGCTGTACTGAGAAGAATTAAATTTAAATTTAAAGGACTATATTTATAGATTATTCTTCAAAAAACTTAAAATAATAGACAAGAGAAAAAAATTAAAATCATCAATAGAAAATAATAAAGTTAAATAAATTTCATATCTCACTATCAGATTTTAGAATCCATAATTATTCTTAAGAATTTTTGAAAGATAGGTTAGGAGAGATTTAATTATGCCTGGAAAAACTTTTTTCTATCACCAGACTTACTGATTAATTCTAATTTTTGTTGAAAAATACTTTTGAGTGCATTGAGAGAGAATGGATACTAGGAAAACAAGCCTACTTAAAAAATGACACACATGTGATAGAAATGTTTCACTTATTCTTTCTCTAAATTAATTCAATACTAAATTTGGGTTACTTAAATCTGTGCATACATTTCCCATATAGAAACAGCTTTATATCATTGTTCAAATAGATCTAGCAAAAACACAACTTAGAAATTTCTATTTTCTAGAAACTAAACATTTAACTTATATCTAACTTTTTAATGAAAATGTATATTTTTTTTTAGAACTTCCTATTAATAATTTTATAAACAGAAATACTGCATACAAATAATGGTAAATTTTGATAGCTTGATGAATTAAAATCAGATCACAGATAATCAAAACATCTTCATTACCTCATATTTGAAATGTTTTAATAAAAATTTCTGTAAACCTCATTATGAAATATAAGTTGTTAATTTTTTCATAAGAATTTCTAAGATTCATTTATTTTCTATTTTAATAAATTAATTTTGTAAATTGAGAAATTTAACTGAAATAAGCATTTCAAAACACACATGTCTGAAGTACTAATTTTTAATATGTTTATTTTAATTCAAAATAAATGTAATACTAGTATTTGAAAACTTGAATTTATTTTTAAATTTATTTATTTTAGTTTTTAAATCACAAATTTAATAAAATTTTATTTAATTTGAAAAATCCATTTAGCTAAAATTAAGTAATTATTTCAAGAATATAGATTTAATTAAAACTTTTTATTTATGCAATTAGTTTTTATCTAAGATCTTTTTTTATTTAATTATATAAAATAGCATTCTAAATTCAGTTTACTGTTAACATTTGGCATATTTCCAAAATAGTAGTACATCAAAAATTATTCAT